AACGTTGGATTACTTCCATTTTTGGATCGGTCAGCTGATCATTGACATATAACCCCGGCGACAAAACTTTTCAGCACTCCCACGTACTGTCAATGGCCTGGAGTACATCACACCCTCCACACACGGATAGATACTGTGATTTGGAGGAATGTACTAATTCTTGTGAGGTAGGCTGTATTCTGTCTTGTGGACAAGCTTATCATTATGAATGTTTTTTGTTGCAATTAGAAAGTCAATGCCAGTATTGTATTTAGTATTGCATATCTCGTGAGTGGTATTGAGAAAAACTGTAGAATTTTTCAGCAAACTGTGAGTTCATTTGATGAGATGCTTATAGATGATAATACAGACAAGTTGGCTGTGGAAGCTGATGACAGCAATACTGGCAATGAAGACTTTTCATTAAATGATGATAATATAGACTTACTTTTTGTAAGGGCTCTGAATACTTTAGCCAATGTATAAAAATGACTGTATAATTATTTTATCATTGTCATATTTATGATTGTCAATAAAATCTAACCAATAATATTCTGACCAATCATAGAGAAAGTTTGCTATGTAGACTGTATAAAGGCCAAGGAAGGACTTATCCTGGAAGGCAGTCTTCCAAATCACTTCGAACATCATGCGAAGTGTGTTTTGGGTCATTGTCTTGTTGGAAGACCCAGTTACAATCATGCAACATATCTGCATTATTATATAAATGACAGTCCAGGTTTTTGGTAAATAAATGCATTCCAATTTTCCCCTTGGTGCTGATTGCTGCCCAAACATGGACTTTATTAGGATGCTTTACCATAGGGGTGATAGGTTTTGCGTTGTGGGACCATGCATGAATGGTATTGGTGAACATCTGAATAGTTGTTTCATCAGAAAAAACAACTTTCCGCTAATTGTATCGCACATGTTTACATGCCCAAGCCAAGTAATTCTCTTTTGCTTGTTGGGTTAGAAGAGGTACTTTTCGTGGAAGAACAGAAAAGAAATTGAGGTTATTGAGCTCACGACATATAGTCTGTTCACTAACCTCAAGTTCAGGGTTATTTTCTTCCAACTTTGCTTTAAGTTCACTTGCTGTAGTGAAATAATTGTGTTTTAAAATTTTCCCAATATGGCAGCACTTTTTGGGAGTTACTTTTCTTGGGCGACCAAAAGAGTAATTTATAGAAAGTTTGCCAGTTTTGTGCAATAAACTAACGTATCACTCACAGGAGCATAGAGGAATACCCAATCTTTGGGAAATTTCCTTCAGATTGTGGACATTTTGTTGCCATAGCAACTTAACAGCATTTCATTGTACTTCAAGGGAGCTTGGTGCCATTTTAAATGGTAAAAAACAAGGTGTAATAATATTAAACTCCTTTGTTTACATTTCTTTTTTTAAACTAATGTTTCATTGTCTAATTTGGTAATATAAACAATGGTCCAAATTAGTAAAATGGTGACACTACAGCAAAAAAAAAAACTAGTATCTCCACTGCCATTCTTTTCGCTGGAGACTGTACTTTGTATCAAGTGCTGTTTAAGTACAAGGCACAATTTAAGGTGTTTAAAGTGCTCAAACTGTGTTGCCCAATGACCTCCTTGATGGTATCAAGTACCAATTATGATTTATCTAGAAGATTCATTCCAAGGAGCCAAAATCCCCAAGGACAATACATTAGAAGTAACTAACTACTGATACAATAACAATTAGTACAGCCAATCTATGTTTTACATCAGACTTGTTTGTCTAACACTAAATACTGAGACATATAATTTGCCTGCAACACATTTAATTCTTGGAGGGCATGTATTGTAGATATCTATCTAAGCAAGGTAAGATTGAGATTGATCATAAAAATCCACCTCAAACTCAACTTTGGTGTATTAAATGTAATGTACCTCTTTGTTGCTCTAAAGCAAGACCCAATTGTTTTCAAGATTACCATACTAAAACATAATAAAAGTTAATTTAGTGTTTAAATTTATCCAATTGTTGATTTAAATTATTATATGTCTCTGATGACCATACTACTTTCCTGAAAAAATGACGAAAAAATTGCTTGTCTTTAAATGTAGATTAACTTACATAGAAATGCCTTAATACATTCGCAATAAGTATGTCAACAATTTCTATTTAATAGGGGGGACTATTAGTAAAAATACAAAATTTTGTTAAAATCTGGTTAATGTCTTGATCACATGTACTGGGTGCATCCATTTGCTGTAGTTTTGAAACATGTTAAATTACACATCTAGTGTAAAACTTTATTATTAAGTCTAATGAGAATGGCATAGTGACATAGTCAAATTGCAGGCAAATTTGCCTGCAAATGGCCACCAGTTTAAGGGATAACTTTTCCAAAATAATCCAATGAATGCAAACTTTTATGTTGAAATTTTACTCCTGAAATCAATCAGATGCTTGGTAAAAAGTGGAAGTTTCAGCAGGACAATGATCCCAAGCATATAAGTAGAGTTGTTAAAGATTTTATTAACATTTGTGGATTGGCCGTCTAACAGTCCTGATTTAAATTTAATAGAAAATCTTCGGTGTATCGTTAAATACAATGTTGAGAGAAGGATGCCAAGAAGTTATGGAAGAGGAATGGCAAAATATTTCAGAAGCGACTTAAAAACGATTACTGTATGTAGCAGACAAGTTGGTAATAATCCAAAAGTTATTCACAAGTAGAACTTTTCAAATTATAGTCGGGATCGCGTTCTTCCGCTCAATATAATATTATTATTTGATACATTTATCGCATGAAGCATTTACAGTAATGAATTTACAGCATTATTTATCTACTGTGCATGAGTATAATAAGATGATTTTCTTTCTTACCTATAATAATCAAATTAATAGTCTTTAGAAAAAAGCTAGAGCTAGATGAGGTAAAAGTGATCTGTAACCACCCAAGACTTGTATATAATGCTACGACGTCACTGCGGAGGGTCTGTATAACAATGTCGTCGGGATATTTTCAAAAAGAAGGCCACCACAAGGATTCTAAGTTCAGTGTATTGTGAGGATATGCCCACGAGATTTCAGTGGGTGCATGGAATTTCAATAAAAGCTATGAGGTGAACAATCCAACAGAATATCAAAACACTAATCAAGTTTGTTGGTGAGATGTTTGTGCGATACGTGAATGTCACAACGTCCTGCAAATCCCATTGGCCAATTTTAAATTCTGTAAAGCAGTATAGTATTCTATCCAAGTTGCCAATGTTAAGGTTCAGAGTTACTTTATTGGCAACAGCGGTTACTGTATAAAAAAAAAGGAAATATTATGAGCTAAATAATTATCTTAAAGTTAACATAAAAATCATGAACTTCATACCTGCAGTCCGCATAAGAATCGTAATTATCATATGGTTCAATACCCATGTCCGCCATAGCAAGATCCCAGATAAGTGAATCAAAACCCCCCACTTGATGTTAAGCGCTTGTGAATGTCAGAATATATCCTTTTATGATTCTCTGGTGCTGAATCAGGTATCACTGGCCGTAGCCCATCCATGATATCTGCATGCTAAATATCTATGCAACTCCTTATCTCTAAAAGATGCCTCCCATGAATTGTTTGATCCAATCTCCAACGATTCATTAAAATTATTTACTAATGCAAAATACTGTAGCCTCTCATAAACATGTGCGCAAGAGGGCCGCTTATTGGGGTCTTCATCCCAACATTCTGAATACAAGTTAATATAATCTTCAGGCGTTCCAGGAAATGGAGGATCACGAGCGCCAGCACCTTCCAGTCTATACATAATGATGGCGACAGCTTCATTAAGTCCTTCGCATGGAACTCTTCCACTAGAAATTTCCCATAGTATTACTCCAAGGCTAAATATATCGGATTCCTTTTTACGTCGATACGATTTGATCTTCAAAGATACCGGATCTCTGTATGCGGGTGCACCATATCCGCGTGATTTGGACATCGCTTGTTTCAACACACTAGATAACCCAAAATCAGTTATCTGATTTGATAAGAATGTTGCTCGATGACTAGAGAAATAGGTACAACCGTCAGTCTTAAGATGAATGTAAGTTCAAACGACGTATTCAACGTGTGCAATAATTACCAAATCCTTGTGAATAATGTCAAGTTCATGTAAATGTCTTAGAACCATTGGTAATGCCTAAGCCCAGTTTATATTTGCCTTTCCAAGTTAACTCTTTGAAGTATCTCTCTAGGTGTTCACGTAAATTTCCACCGTCAGCCAGTTCAAAAATCATATGATGGTTATGACGATTGATCTATATCGTAAAATAAGAAATTGTTATTTGTAATTAAGTCAAGGAAATCACCATCACTTTATATACACCCAAAAAACGAATATTATTGGGATGGTTATTCGCTTCGTTGTGGTTTCTTAGCTAATGTAATGGCACTCAGTTTGTTTATATAATGAATGCACGGCAAGCATAATGAAAAGATAAATATCAACCTCTTTGACCAATTGATGGTGCAAATTTTCACAAGCCCCAGGTTTATCATCGCGATACAATATTTTCACTGCACTGCAACGGTCATGTCAGAGAAAATGCCGCTTTTCTGCTTTATAGTTGCCTTATATACCGCTCCATATCCTCCAAGACCAATATATGGAAAGTCTAATTCTATGCCATTTTCTGGATAGCAATGGATTGATCTTTCTTGAATGCTTGTCTCCAGCCATTCTTTGTACGGATTACTAGACATTATTAACATAATGGTTTTGATGAAATCGTGATTGGTTGGTCAGAAAATTCTGCAATACTATTGGTTTGATTTTATTAAAAAAGTTTATTCGCGAAAACGGCTTGGATATGTAAAAATAATAATACACATTTATTATAGAGTGAAGTATTGAAAATTAGCTGTGTAAAGTTTATAAAATCGGTAATACGTTCGATGCTACTTGTTCTAGTCAGTCATATTCACGAATTACCCCAGGATCAGTTATGAAAGAAAGATTGTTTTTGCATAACACAAAAGTCTTCAATGGCATGATTCGCCATAAAAATAAATTTTACAATTAAAATCGTACGATTGGAAAGTGAAATACGTAGCTGTGCCAAATAAAGGATACACCAAACTAAAGCGAGCGAAACTTCTGGTAAGTTAACTCTTGAGTTCTATGAACAGTTAAAGCAAAAGAATTTTGTAATGGATTGTGTCAGTGAAGCTCTTTGTCCGTTGGTATAGAAATATTGTGTCTGTTTAACTATGGACTTGTTGTGTACGATGCTCCATGTACACAGAATGCTACAGTAACACTTGGAGTGTTTTGTCTAGATCTGTAATTTCTGATAGTACCGCTACAAATTCCAATTTCAATTAAAGAGTTATCGAGAAACATAACTCTTGTCCCTTGTTGTAATCTGGTAGAGGGTGGTAAATTAGTTTTCGATTTAAACTCAGGCAGAAACTTTTCATCCCTGATTTCATTCAAGAAGTCTATCAATTTTTGATATAAGAACTGGAGATGCTTGAGATATGCTTCGCAGAGATTTGTGTTAATTGGTTTTATCTTTGTAAGGAGGATCGATTCATAAAGTAGTGGTTGTATGCATATAAATTGGTGGAATATGTTTAATAGAGGGGTGTTATATTTTAATTGTTTGTAGAGCTTTATTCTTTGTTCGCGAGGAAGATGGGATTATGCAATGTAGGTATTTGTTGATTGAGTTTGGTTGTAAGTAAATTGCTTATTATATACCGTATTTCACCTACATGTGTACCCGGGTAATCCCTTTGTTCATTTTAGTACCCAGAGACAGGGTACTCATATACCGTAGTGATAATGGTACATATCTCGATTTGTTTTTCTAAAATTTTATTGGCTGCCGATAAATTCCATCAAATGTGATTCCAGAGTTCCTTGAATTAACGCATTAGATAAATACTGTATAGTAAAAACTTTGAATTAACATTAAAATTCGATTGTGATTACAGGTAACTTTTTTTATGTCTCCTGGGTGTCTCATATCTTGAATTAGTATATGACATCGTGGATTCTACACTTGGGAATAATCGTAGATTTCTGTCGCTTTTATCAAATAAAGTTTGTGCATCTTATAGTGTCAAATTTTAATTCGCAGTTTTTATTGGCAAATTAGAAGAGGGTACAAATCACAGGGGGTATATGCCGGAAGAATCAAAATTGCCGCAGGGTACAGCGCACGGGGGTATACATGTTGGTGAAATACGGTAGTTTTAGTTTGCGTTGTCATATTGTTGTTATTTAATATGGCAGATTAAAACGAAACATGGGCCTTTTTTGTGATGAAATTTGGGGTCCATTTGAAATGTAGCACAAATTTGACCATTTATAGATTTTACACAGTTTAAGAAGTCGTATCAGCATTTGGCGATTATAACGTGTATTTTACAAGGTAAGATGTATCGTTGGCAGGATGGCCTACATACGATAACGAAAACTAAGAAAAAGTTTGCCATATAGTCACCGTGCGTGTTAAATTGTGCAATAATAATAAGGAATATCATAAATAGAGCGCAACGTGAAATACCATACTTTATTATTGTTATCCATGCACTTCATCCAGATGGCTCATAAGTCGATCAGACTTATTGTATATACTACGATTACTGTATCATGTAAGAGTTTTAGGAATAAAATTATGTTCTTACGTCCTTTATTTATATATTGTACGAGGATAAGTGTGTGGGTCCTTTGCGCGTTTAATCGCGTACACAATCACGTGTCAATATTTTGGAAACAAATTTTATGCATATCGAAACACTTCTATTTTGGGGCGTAGGCTAGATTCTATTGGTTGACGTCCAATGTAATTGCAAGGATCAGGTCACGTTCTACCCATCCTCCATTTTTGGTGGTTTACGAAATTTCTACAGAAAATGTATAAGATTCAAGGTTAGATGATCACTGTAAATACTGTGAGAATGGTTATATAACGATGATTCGTTCATTATAATGGTCAAATTACCGAAAAAACCTGACGAACCTGAAGACTTTAATGATATTGCTTCTTATCTTCAGTCTGGTGTCTTTGCGCCAAAGTACAATATCGCAACAAAAAGGAACAATTTGCGTCAGAGATGTAAAGACCTTACTCAGGAGCGGTTGTCTGTTTTATACTGAGAAGCCGACAGACAAAACTCTCAACCGATCAAAAAACGATTAATTCCAACTTACGACAGGGAATTACGAGAAGCTCTCTTAGAGAAATTCCATGTTGGGGCCTCTCACTTTGAATACCATAAAACATGCACTATGCTGTATGAGAACACATTGGAATCACACAAAAATGAAGTCAAAGCGTTCGTACAAAAGTGCCCTACTTGTATCCAACATGTATCTATCAAAGAAAAAAACGATGTACAGAGCAGTGCAAAAGTAATGAGAAATTTTTTTGTGCATACAAATAAATTCTATTTGTCAATTCCAATTAAAAGATGGTTTTGTAGAATAAATTTTACATCAATTATAATAAAATTATGCTTCTAACTTTGGATAATTACTGGCTCTCTATAAGTCCCAGACCTCTATCCAATTAAAAATCTATGGAAATATAAAAAAAAAATTGAACAGAAGGTAAATAAATGCTCTGCTACAAAAAATAGTTGATTTCAAACATTTTATAAAAGAAAAATGGAAATTAATTAGTAAACACTTCGACTTACTTAATTAATAACTGATTACAGGATAGGAAAACAAGATCAAAGGCCAAAATTTTATACCAATTTCTATTATACAAGTGAAACTCGATAAGACGAAGGTCGTGGGCAGAGCCAATTTATTCGACTTATCCAGATTTTCACTTTACCAAATTTCGCACTAAGCCGAATTTATATATATATATTTGCACAAATTTTTGACTTACAATTCAACAGCATAAACTTTGTTGATTAATGGTAAAACGAAAGAATACTTGTTTGCTGTAACGTATTCTGAAGTTTAATCTTATTCTCTTTAATTTTCTTAAGTTAGATAAGACAGTAATATCAGCGTCGAGTTCGTTGTCACAATCTTGACTAACATATAAAAGCAAAGAATTGACGTGCTCGAAGCTGATTTATGAGAAATGAATTCGGCCGGAGTCTTAGATAAACAATCGAGCGATTGTTTGTGACATTACATTTCAGGAAACGAACCAATCAATACAAATTCACGTGAAAACTTCAGTATATCGAGATAAAATTATTATTGTCGGTTGTTCGAAACTTTCGGCTTATCTTTTAACGTAAATTACTAATAAATTTCGGCTTACGCTATAATAAAAATTTGGTAAACCGGAAAAACTTCGGCTTAATGCAATTTCGGCTTAGCGTGGTTTCGTCTTAACGAGTTTCACTTGTATCCTTGATAAACTTTACACAAAATTTTAAGCCAATCCTGCTGTTAGTTATTGAACTATTAACTAATTGGTAATCTCATAACTTTTGCACAGCACTGTAACACACATTATCGCTAGCAGTCCTTTGGAACGTCTTGGTCGACCTCTTTCTTTTGCGAAACACAATGACGGTTACAGCTACATTCTAACGATGGTCGATGTATTCTCAAGATATGTTTGGTTATTCCGCTTAAAAACAAAGAGGGAAGGACGGTTAATAAGAAATTAATAAGACATTTTTCGATGTCTGGTCCCTCCACAGAGATTCAATCAGACAATGGATCTGAATTCATTACCGATGTACTAAAGAAAACATGTGAAGCGCTCAAAGTTCAGTTTCTATAGCTTGAAATTTAAGAATTAATAGTGTTCTAACCCTACTTTATCTCCAGATACAGCTCGTCCATGGTCATGTCCGCCATCCATAAACCGGAAAGATTCAATCGGTCGCCACTTAACAAAAATGCTATGAGATAAAGTTTTACAGACCTAAGGATACACTACTATCGTGAGGGACTTTTATTCACAACAAGGTGCTCGCTAAAGCCCAGTTTGAGCTGTTTTTATCTATCTACAATACATGCAGAGGAAGAAAATAAAGCCCTACATTTGGCGTCTCAAGTAACTCCAAGATTTTGTTGCGATCACAAGATCAAATGCTGTCGTCAACACCATTTTTCAGCCAGTAAACGCTGCAATGCGCAAATTTTGCGTCGCGCACAGGTTAAAGTATGTTTCCTGACAAAGGTTTCCTGTTCTAATAAAGAAATTAGGGGAGCGATAAAAATATAATAAAAATTATACATATTGTATAAATAAAAAACTCTGTTTCCCTTCGAAGGCCTACACCAGTTTCCTTAGTGGATTGGGAAACATATTTATTATTGAGCGCCAACGGGATCGAAATCTTATATTCCTATTTGCTACTGCAGTAGTTAGAAATGGGAGGCAATCGTTTCGTCGACAATCATTTCACCGACAAATCTTCACCAACATTATTTCGAAGTTATCCTTTTTTGGTAGTTAATTGTCGGTGAAATAATTGTCGATGAAATAATACGGACCCGTTAGAAATTAGTTATAAAAACGACCTTTCCTCGCAGCTGAAAATATTCGGCCGTTTGGTTCAAACCGCGAGGTTCAATTAAATGAGTTCAATTTTTATAATGACAAAATTGCTATATTTGTTCGTATAACCTATCTTTAAAAGCATTGCAATTTTCCCGAACAATAAAAAAAGAATAGCGATCCCATCACGAGCTGCGATTCGTGACGTCTGAATATCGAAGATAACGAAGACCTATAATCAGTGAAGAAGAAATATTGGTTTGTAAACCGATAGTATACCTATTAGGACAGGTGAAGCGTCGCAGAATCCGAGTTGTTGCTGACAAGGGTCGACTTAAAACCACCTCTATTTTGAGTTTATTATTATGGTAAATAATTGGGTATATATAAATATTTTTTAAAGATACACAGTCAGCCTCGATAAACCGGCCAACAATAGCTGGCTCTGATGGCCGGTTTATCGAGACAACCGGTTTATCAAGACTCACGTGATAAAAGATATTTAATTAGACAATTTTATTATAAGAGATTTACATCGTAAAATAATCTTGCAGGCTAGACTGTCTTAGAGAATCAACTTGCTTTTTTCTTAACTGACGTTGCAAATCTTTCATCCCTGACAATAAAGAACTATGTATGCTTCAGTATTTTGTTTCTACTGATTATTATTCTTTAGTCGTATGAGTTAATGACATAATATTGCTCTAATCGTATGATTTAATGACATGATACTGCTCTAATCGTATGATTCATATCATCTAATGATATGATACTAATCATATAATTATAATTAGTCAATGATACATCGTATGATAGTTGTTGATTCTAGGACATTTTAGCGATTTGACGGTTCGAATCCGACGATTTAATAATAATGACATACGAATTTATACTGGATAATTGTTATCATACGAGTTGTGATCAACCGGTTAAATTTGACAAAATTTGTATCACGTATTACAAAAATCACGTGGACCGGTTTATCGAGGTACATTCAATTAAGACCGGCTGCCGGTTTACAGCTTATCGAGTATTTACATAGTTTGGCCGGTTTATCGAAAACTTTTAAATAGTGAAAAAAACAGCTGAAAAATCTTGGCCGGTTTAAGCCAAAACCGGTTTATCGAGCGGCCGGTTTATCGAGGCTGACTGTGTAATAGGGAAAACTTGTAAACTAACAATGTCAAAACGCTCACAAATCGCAAGGCTTGTCGCACAATACAATACTGTAAACTATTTAATTTTTTCCAGTAAAACTACTACGCTACGGTAAAACTTCTACTACCGCACTAATAAAAGAGTAAAGCCATATCAAGAAAAACAAATTCGATAAGGCAGAAGAAGAAATTTATCAATTCTGTTACTCGAGAAACCGAACTGTTAAATCACATACGGCTATATAGAGATTCAAGAATGCCCATAAGCAAAGAAGAAGCGGTTAACTTAAATTGTTTGCGATAGGGAACAAAAATTTTAAAGAAAATATTGATAACCTAGCAAGTTGACAAGAAATGCTGTTCTGTTTGTACTTGTACCTACAAAGGTTGACCAACAATTACTGGATATGTTAGCACAATGTGTCTATTTAAATCTTAACAGAATACAGTATGAAAGTGCAGGGAACTTAGAGTGAGGTCAACTATTTTATTGCTGTTGTCGTGCCGACTACTGCGGGAGAGCAGAAAGTAATTGACACTTGGGATTTAACTAGTCTCAACGGAGCGTGGCGCCTCCTATTCAAGTTAAATATCTAATTTTTTAGTTAGTGACCTTGTAATCGCAAGGCTTTCCACTTACGGGCTTTTTCACCGTAGAATGACGTTTATCCTAGATATAGAATCGTTCTCTACTCGTTGATTATTGGTCGTTTATATTTGGGGGATTAAAAAAATGGCCCAATTTCTTTGAAGACGATTTTCTAACGACCACCTGCTTTTGCGAATGCACCATTTTTATAGATCAGTCGTCATATTATATCGTCCACATTTACCCGTTAATCATATCTGTCATTGAAAATATAATTGAACAATAAAAATATGTATAACGATGAATTATTATAACAGAAACTGATGATAATAGCATTAAATAAGAATAACTATTGTAATATTACCAATTAATTAAGAGCATTATAAAATATCCCGGACAATAAAACAAGCATAGCAATGAATTATTTCAGTATAACGATTACAACAGGAATCGATAATAATAACATGCAATGTTAACTTATTCAATAGTTTTGCATATACGACACAATCTTACATCGATTTTCCGTATACAAGTCATCCAGTTCAATGTTATGTGTTGTGTAATAGAGCTTTTAAAGCTTCAACTTAACAACGTTTCGATTATTAGCTTATCCCAAAACCTCAACTTAGGTACAAATATTCACAAACCCGGGGTATTTTGATATTATTATTACTTAACTAGAAACTAACAAGTGTTCTCCTTTCCTTGTATAGTATTATGAAATTAAAAGACGAACATGGGAGATTATTATTATTGAAAAGCGTCTTGAAATAGCAAGAACTATTGTCGTTTGAACACACGAACGAGGAATTTACATTACGTAGAGAATGATTTCGTAAAAGTTCGGGGCATTTGCCAACGAGATTAATCATGTAGCGAGTCTTCGAACATGGAGAGACCATTCCAGAAATACAATATTTTGGAGTGATTTAGAGAATGCATATACATGTATATAGGTATATATAGTATACTGTACATCGATTAATCCAGAACAGAATTAAGCTATATATATACAGTCCAGTATGTGAGTATAGCATGAGTCGCTAAAAACGGTAGAGATACATAAGCTAATGATTATTTTCTTACCATCGTATCAGTTACATAAGATTCTATATACATTATTCATATTGGATAATCTCCCCAGAGGTAATATGGATTGTGCAACTGGATTAATTAAATATTGACTTTTTCATGGATATTGAACAAATAAATAATAAAGTATCTGTCCGCTTGTTAACATTTGATCTTCGATTATTTTAATTGCAGTCGGGTGATAGTGCAGAAGTTCTAACTTTGCGTTAGCAATTTGAACCTTAGCTGCATAATGAATAGAATATCGGTTTGTTATCGCTATAATCATTTTGGTCATAACATGTGATTGTCCATATCGAGTATGTGCTGCTTATCCTTACTAATTCAGGTT